GCGTCTTACAAAGATCGTTGTGCTTCAGGCGCAGCAGCAGCAGCAACAGCAGCAGCAGCAACAGCAGCAAAGGTCACTGCTGTTGTCACGACTGCGCCAGGCAACCGAAATGCTGCGGCCCTAGCAGCAGCAGCAGCAGCAGCAACAGCAGCAGCAGCAGCAACAGCAACAGCAGCAGCAGCAGCAGGACTGTGGGCCAATGCTAGAGGCACCTAAGTACTAGTGGACCTCAGCAAGCAAACGGCAGCAGCAAATAATGCAGTAGATAACCCAAACCACCGTTTAGGGTTTAGGGTTTAGGGTTTAGGGGGGTTCAGGGTGATGCATGCATGTTGAGTTTGATAAAGTTTTGCTTTTTTATATTTATTTGCTGCTTTTTAATTATTTTATTTATTTTGTTTTTGCTGCTGCACCTGAAGACCTGCAAGGAACAAAACTTTTATTTCTTCATTTTTCTGCTTACAACTAGCTGCTGAATCCTGTGCAGCAGCAGCAACAGCAGCAGCAGCAGCAGCTGCTGCAGCAGCATCTGTAGAAATGGCAGCGACAGCAGCAGCACCACAAATAGCAGCAGCAACACTAGCAACAGTAACAGCAGCAGCAGCAGCAGCATAAACAGCAGCAGCAGCAGCAGCAGCAGGAACAACTGTTTGTCCCTTCAAAACTTTGTTGAAGGGGTTTATTTCATAAAGCCATAATGAAAAATGTTTTTTTATAAATTGGAAATGTTTATTTAAAATATTAAAAATGTTTTAAAATAAATTCAAAACATTAATTATATGCAGCGCTGGAGAGTGCAGCTGCCTGGACACCCCCGCGGGGCCCCACAGAAATACTCTGCTGCTGCTGCTGCTGCTGCTGCTGCTGTTGCTGCTGCTGCTGCTGCTGCTGCTACTGTTGCTGCTGCTGCTGCTGCTGCACTTATAGTTTTTTTGGAAGCGGACTGGACTAGTATTATAGTAAAGTATTGGATAATAAACATTTTAAAGTAGAGTTTATATAAAGTGTAACTATTTAGAGTTTCACATTTATTTATAAACACTTAAAACTTCCTCTTGAAAATATTTTTGATAATTATTTCTTTAGACCTTTTCGTGTTCTTTCATGCAGAAATTTATTTATTTGTTTACTTTTATTCTTTTGTTTTTGAAAATTATTTTATTTTTATTTCCTTTATGTAAACTTATATGGCATGCATGCACAAATGCACATGGTGCAGCATTCTGGCATTTACTTGCTGCTGCTGCTGCTGCTGCTGCTGCTGCTGCTGCTGCTGCTGCTGCTGCTGCTGCTCTATTACGCAACCTGCAGCACAAAGCGGTCCTTTTTATTTCCAATTAATTGCATTATGGAGACAAAATGTAAAAGAAATGCCATTATTACTTTTAAATTGTTTGAAGACATTTCGCTGCAGTTGCATTTTTGCAAAATTACACTTTTGGTTTTGGGTCCATTTCAGGTGTACGTACACTTCAGGTGTACGTACACCGCGGCGCAATTATACCCCCTTGTCGTTTCTTCTTTTCCTTTTCTTTCTTTGCCATTATTATCAAAATAAAAAAATTAATTCAATGAAATTAAATTAATTCATTTAACAGAAATAGAAAAGATGTACAAACATTTGTTTTGCTTTCTTTGCTGCTGTTGCTGAGGTGTATGTACACCCCGCAGCAAATCGGAATTAACTTTCCTTTGCGGCTTTTAATTTAAATTTATAAATTTAAATTAGAATTTTTAAACATTATTTAAATATAAATAAACATTTACATTTAAATAATGTTTTGGAATTCTAATTTACATTTATAATCCTCCATTGTAACTTCACTACTTCCGGGAATTCGAATAAACAATCAAAATAAAAAACAAAACAAAATAATAACTTTAATTAAATCTGATTATTCAAAAGGAAAAACAAAATAAAATAATGACATTAAATAAGTCTGATTATTCAAAATGAAAACAAAATAGATAATAACTTCAGTTGAATCTGCTCATTCAAAATGAAAAGCAAAACAAAATAATAACTTTAATTAGATCTGATTATTCAAAATGAAAAATAAATAAATAATAACTTTAATTAAATCTGATTATTCAAAAGGAAAAATAAATAATAACTTCAGTCTGGTTATTCAAAATGGAAAATAAATAAACAATAACTTTAGTTTAACCTGATTATTCAAAATGAAAAATAAACAACTTCAACCTGATTATCCAATCTGATTATTCAAATTAAAAAATAAATAAATAATAACTTTGATTTAATCTGAAAAGTAAACCGAGTCCTCAAGCCCGCTCGCAAAGAGGCATTTCGGGTGTACAGACACCTCCGATGCCTCAGCAGCAAGGGCAGCAGCAGCAGCAGCAGCAGCTCACTCACTGCTGCTGTAGCCGCAGTAGCAGTAGCAGCAGCTCGCTAGCTGCTGCAGCAGCTGCTGCAGCAGCTGCTGCAGCAGCAGCAGCTGCTGCTGCCCAGGCACATCCGCTGCCTCAGTCGTTGCTGCTGCAACAGCAGCAGTTCAGCAAATGCCACCGCAGCAGCAACAGCAGCAGCAGCAGCGGCTGCTGCTGCTGCTATGCATGCACTGTGCGGAATGCTCACCGCCTTGCGGCGATCACGAGTAGCAGCAGCAGCAGCAGCAGCTGCTGCTGCTGCTGCTGCAGGAGTGCTGCTGCTGCTTGCAGCAGCAGCAGCAGATTGTCCCAAATATCTTTCCTTTTTGTCTCTTTTTGTCTCCTTTTTCCTTTTGGACTTCTCTGTCTCCTCAATTCTTTTTTGTCTTTTCTTTTTTGTCTTTTTTCATTTGCTGCAGTCCAACTGTCTCCTTTTGTTTTCTTTTTCTCCTTCTCTTCCTCTTTTCATTTGTCTCCTTTTCAACTATTTATCTTTGTTATTAAATGTTGAATATTAATATTAAAAGATAAATAAATAATAAATAATAAATTAATAAATTAATAAATAAATAAATAATAATTAGAAATTATAAAAATGGCATAAGTAACTGTCTCCCTGTCTCTACTCGTTAGCAAGGACGCAGCTGCTTCTTTTAATCCATTTAAATGAATTAAATTAATTCATTTAATTTAATTCATTTAATTATTTATTTAATTATTTATTTAATTATTTATTTAATTATTATTTAATTTCTTTCTTTCTTTTTCTTTTCTTTTATTCTCTCTTGGGGGGCTCGGGGGCCACTTGCGGTGTATGTACACCGCCCGCCTGCACCATAGCATTTATAAATTTTGAGTTTCTTCGAAATGGGAAATAAATAATAAAAGAATAAAAGAAAGAAATAAAAACAAACAAATAATGAATAAATAATAAATAATAAATAATATAAATAATAAAGAATAAATACAGACGGGGCAAATTAGGCAAATATCTTTTTCCGTTCGCCCCCGTCTTTTTGGCATTTATTCATTCCTCGAAATGATCCATTTTTAATTTAATTCATTTTATTTATTTATTTATTTCTTTCTTTATTTGTTTGTTTATTTGTTTATTTATTTATTTGTTTATTATCCATTTATGCAGACTCAAAACATCACGAAAAAAAGTTCAAGACGAAAGCCTTAAGGCATGCATTCATGTGTTCAGGTGTACATACACTGCAGCAGCAGCAACTCTTGCATTTGGCCTTCAGGCATTTCATTACTTTTACACATTTGCACATTTACCATTTATTAAACACAAAGGATTTATTTACTCTTTTTATCTTAACATAAACATTCCTGCAAATACACATATGTACCTTTATGCATAATATGTGCATTTATTTGTGCACATTTTGCATATTTATGAATATATTTATGCACATTTACACAGAGAAATCATTTTAATGAATTGAAATAAAAAAGAAGTAAATAAAGTAATTGTTTCGGTTGTTTGCAGCTCAAATGCACTATTACATTTCACTTCAGAAGAAAAATTCAGAAAAAAAACAGAAAAAAGGCTTTTTGCATGCAAACGCATGCACGGGGCTTTTGCATGCGTTTGCGCCGGGTGTACGTACACCCGAACACGCAAACACTCGAAGGCAGAAAATGCAGCACTGGAGGGCGCAAGAAGCAGAAAAATAAAAGAAAAAGAAACAAAATAATTAATAAAAGATGAAAAACAAACAAAGTAATTAATAAAAGAAGTAGAAATTGAATGAAAGAAAGAAATCCGAAAAAAGAAGAAAGAGAACAACTGGCGCATGCAGTGTACAGACAGCTCTGCATGCATGCAGCGAAGAGCAGTGGGGTGTAAGTACACCGGAAGAATCCAATTCAATTATTTGTTTCGAAGTATTTATTTTTATTTAAATGTTTATAAGTAAATATTCAATTAATTATTTAATTATTTGTGAATAAATACTTCCAAACAAACACTTTTCACTTCCAAATATGCCACAACACCCACAGCAAACATTTATAAATAATAATTAATAATAATAAATAATAAATGATAATTAATAATAATAAATAATAATTAATAATTGATAATAATAAATAATAAATAATAATAAAAATAAATAAATAAATAAATAAACTAGCGTCTTTGTCTCACCACAGCAACAGCCCCCTGCACTTTGTTAATTCCCTCAAGCACTTTTTGCTGCAGCTCTGCTGCTGCTTTGTTGCCAGCTTCTGCCAGCTGCTGCAGCGGCTGCTGCTGCTGCAGCAGAAAAGGCCTTATCAGCAAGTTGTAAATCGTCTCCGCGCCCTGCACAGCAGCAGCAGCAGCAGCAGCAGCAGCAGCAGCAGCAGCAGCAGCGGCAGCAGCAGGTTTCGCAAATTGTTGGAATGAATTAAATGCAGTTCAGCAAACAATCGAACAGCAGCAGAATTTGAACAAGCAGTAGAAACGTATCAAAAAATGAAGTTCACGAAATATCCCCAAAACCCTAAACTCTAAACCCTAAACTCTAAACCCTAAACCCTAAACCCTAAACCCTAAACCCTAGAGCACCTTGAAGCGGGGCAAAGCGAGGTAGAGGAGGAAGCAGAACTTGAAG